TTCTCTCCCCCCAAATAACGTCCAAATATTTTACGCTACACAGCGCCTCATTACCACCAAAAAATTACAAAATTACCCCTGTGGGAGTAATTAACTTCAGGTTGAAGACCTCTGGTTTAAACACATGTTAAAAAACTTTGTGAGAAACTGGAGACTGAGAGAGTTTTAACGTCTTTACTTTAAGATAAATAACTCAAGACACGACTATCAGCTGTCAAATCTACCTCATATCCCTGTGATCTGCCCTGCGATAACCACATACCTCTCTAGGTTAAAATAACACAAACCTTATACCCCTACAAATATAATAGACTTTACTCATGACACAATATCAAATTAGGCCAGGTCAAAGTTCGCATCAAGAGGAGCTTCAAGATTGGATTTACAACTAAAGGGATACAACTCCAGTCTATAAAATTGACTAATAATGACACAATAATGAAATATTTGGACAATCCTATAATATATTGAGAAATAAGCCAACAATCTATCTACATATAATTGACTATTTAAGGAGTTAATTCTAATTCCAAATTTGGAGTTTTTCCAACTTGAAAACTTATCCAAAAAAAGAAATGTAGGTCTTTTGCAAAGGACATGGCAATAATTCAATTCAACAGTCACATGTGTGCAGAAATAGGCCAGACGTAAACTAATTTGCATAATAACAAAGGAATAAATAAAAATAAAAAATTTGAATGAATAAGCTACTACGTTGTGAAGGAAAAATTCGGTGAGAAGGAAGTTAAGATATACCAAACCTTATTTTGCACTATTAATATTTTAACTTAACAATCAACTAAAAAAAACCTGAGTATGGCCAGATTTTATTACAGAAATATTGACAGATTCCTGGGGGGTGGGGGCATGTAGAAATTAGGTTGGCCCCGATTTGGCTCCCCCAGTTTCAATTTTTTATCATAGATTTCTTTCATGCCTGGTGCTGTGACCCCCACTGAATAGCCCCTTGACCCAATAATTCATGAAAACACCACTGTGGATATCCTAAAATGGATACAAAGTCTAGATACAAATAGAGGGAACATGAATCTACATTTTTTTTTAGTTTTGCTACCCAGAAAGAAGTAGTCTGCCAAGTCTGTAATGCTATGTCCATAAAAGGAAGTGTGCCCATATAAGGAAGAAGGACCAGTAAACAGTTTTTTCATGTTTCTAGGTAACAGTGGGATTGTCTAGGATTAAATCTATCATATCATAACTGATCTATATTTCACTTCACTATACTGAGAATGACCCACGAAATATCTTATTCAAGTTCTCAAAATTATAGAGACATTTAAAGAGGTGATTTCTAAGAAACTCTTGGAATTTCTACCTGACTAGCGATTTAAGCAAATCATATAAATATATATATCCTTGCTATTCCAGTTGACCCATCTTACACCTGTTTTGAAGAAGGGATAATACACAAACAAGTATTGCCAAGAAATTAGTCGATTATTATTCTTTCTAAATATGAATGTGTCGTTATTTTTTAAAAAGAGCCAACAGGCAATCTTATTTCGTATTTGTCAGTTATTACATCATGTACAGTGGGGGCATCAGTGGGGGTACAGCGGGGCATTTGCCTCCCCCTAGAAAAGTTGTTTGCACTCTCAAATGTACCCCACTTTATTTTCAAAAAATCTAAATGTCTACCTATTTTCTCCAAAATATGTGTCATAATTTGAAAAAATCAATTTATTTTTTCTAAAACTTTCTTGCGAGAACCCTCTAAGAAGCTATACGAGAGGCTTGCGACTATAACACCACCACAGAGTAGACAAAATTGAGTCAGTCTCAGAAGTTGTCCCTCAATTGAGTCAGTCTGTCCACTATTTGTACCCCCAGTCTTGGAAGGCTGGCGTTGTCACTGATTGTTTCAATGTTTATAATGTGGTAGTTATTTGTATCAATAGAGTTATATTATAATCTGTATAAATAATTATCAAGTTATAGCCAACTTTTACTGACTTTTTGAACCAGACGGCAATTACCTGGAAATATTTAAAAGAAATAAACCAATATCTCAATTTCTAATCAACATTATCATTATTATTATCATTATTTATTATTGATACAGACACTAGCCAAATGTTTTATATTATATGAATAATGGGAGATATTAACATTGTAATAGGTCCATATCACATACATACACCACGTCCATATATAGTCATAATAGGTACTCTGAATGAATGAATGAATGAATGAATGAATGAATGAATGAATGAATGAATGAATGAATGAATGAACGAATGAACGAATGAACGAATGAATGAATCAGTTTATATATACCATGTTTTTTGGGCAAAAATCTCATAACTAGGTTATAAATTTGGGCAACCTCAAATTCCCTCCCCCCTCCCCTCGGACGTAAATCTGGCTGGTCATAATTATTGATAGGTACTGTGAATGAATGAATAAATGAGTGAATGAAACAGTTTATATATACCATGTCCATATAAAGTCATAATTATTAGCAGGTACTCTGAATGAATGAATAACAATTGTTATTTGTTTGATCCAATAGTTTACATATTCCATGTCCAAATATGGTCATATTTAGATGGAAAGATCAATAACACAAACAGCATATATATATCATGTCCATATATAGCCACAACCATATAGAATGAATGAATGAATGAATGAATGAAACACAGCTTATCATATACATAATTATTGCTTGGTAATGAATGAATGAATAAAGAAAAAAGATCAAACACAAGCATATATATACTACAAATATATCATCTCCATATATAGTCACAACCATATAGAATGAGTGAGTGAGTGAGTGAGTGAGTGAGTGAGTGAAAGAGTGAATGAATGAATGAATGAATGAATGAATGAATGAATGAATGAATGAATGAATGAATGAATGAATGAATGAATGAATGAATGAAATCAAACACTGATATATAATATAACAATTCTAACATGTGATAAATTAAATCTTATCAAATGATAATTTGAACTTTATCTGAGTTTCAACAAGATCAGAAGAATTATTTGGTGGGAGGATCTTTACCATATTCACTGATATAAACCCATCAAATACAGTAATTTAAGAAATACACCAGTATTGACTGATTATCAAATATCCAAGGACATTGGCAGAATTGTTATATTGGGTGGGTCAAACACTGTCAGAGGCAAAGAAAATTTTTAAAATTTGATCATGAAATGAATTACCGGTAGCCCCATCAGATGTGTGGACGCCCATCCAAGTATCAAAAGCGGATGTAACTAACACAACACCAAAGTAAAACACACATTGGAAAAGCAACAGTATTCAATGATGAAAATAAAATAATCATACCAATACATAGGAATAGAAAACAGCAAATTCAGCAAAAAATTGAAAGATGAAAAAGATAGATTATAAAGACTGTTTTGAGGTCAAGGCAGACACCAATGACAATCGTAAAGCGGTAGTTTCTCAAAAACTTTCCTTCAATAACTAGAGTTTTTTTAAAAGTTTATTCATCAACCAAATAGATTATTGTATTTTTCAAAATTGATTTTATTTTTGTCAAATTTTTGGGAGTATCCTCTCAAACTTAAATCTCTGGACCTTCAAGTCAGTAAGCAAGTGTGGTAACAAGGCCCCAGGGTTTTATTAGGAAGACTATGGTATGGTTGAAGTTTGAGACAAGTTTTACAACTCAGCACTTATCTTGTAAGAGATTTCACTGATTGATATATATCATATATCTGGGTCACTCATAGTTTAATCTTACTGTTATAATATAATATACTGCACCTAAATACAATATCCAAATAATTTAAAGGTTTTCATGACAGTGACCTCATAAAATGTGTAGTGTTAGTGGAATTGCAAGAACCATATTGGAATGGTACAAATTGATTCTATCAATGTCTATAATACTCATCAAAAATTTAGAAATCTTCATTTAAAGCATTTTATCATTTAGAACCTGTCCTGTGTATCAATTAGAATTATTTTATTCTTCACTTGATCATTTTAGAAAAGGTCAGCAAGTCAAATGACTAAATAACGAAGATTCTATTATTGACGAGGTTTTAATTACAGATGGTTAAAGATATGCTAATTAGGTTAATCAATTAGGAAATGGCAATTAAAAACTAATTATAGGATACACATCAATAGCTTCCCTGTACTTCACAGGGATATTTTGTACTTAAACTGTCAAAGGACTTGACCCACTTTCATGTCTTCAAGTAAGTCTAGCAAATTATGTCAATGTCTGATTGCATTTCATTACCAGGAATATGTCTGTGTTGTTATGGTAAACAATCTAGGAACAATCTAGACTTGATCATTCAATATGCAACAGAATGACATAGCTAAGTGCTTATGAAAAGAGTAGGCCGATCTATATTCAACACTGCGCCTTCAACACAAAAACTGCAATCTAATATCTCAACAATTACAAAATATAGTATAACCTCAATAGTTTAACAAACCAAAGCCCAAAATTGCTTGAGGCATACAAAAGGTAAAACATTCTTTACATTCTACATATTCCAGGAAGTTAACTGAAGCAAAACTGACAATTTTATTGGTGCAAGGGAGGTAACACCATTTTTTGAACAACTAAATTTTTCCAGACTACAGTTAATTTTCTCACGTCCAATAATGAACACAAGTATACTGGCTCTATATCATTTATCTTTAGTGTATTGGGGTAAATTATATTTTGATATATCATTATTTGCAGAATTCATACTACACACAACCTCTCTATTCAATTCTTTTTATCATTGTCCTAATATAGTTAGTTTTCTGCTGTATTTTTGTGTTAGGGTTTGGACTAAAATATGCATTCATACATGTTATAGTAGACATTTCATGTGTTTGTTTAGAATTGAACTGTTATCTTTGCTAAAAAATAATCAGACTTGTATTTTGTAGAGTGTGTAATGTTGTAGATCTGTTAGTTAACTGTGGTCTAAAGTTTAAAAAGAGTTTCCTACCTTGGACCACTAATCTCCTCTTTTACATGTCTATTTTGATCTAGTGACTCCATGACAACATCTCTCACGCCATCACCAGTATATGTAAGATGGCACGGCAACTGATCTTCTGGCTGAGAAAATAAAATTTCAAACATTCAGTATGAAAGACAAGTTTTTTAATCAGTTGATCAACCCAACGAAGAATAGAAACACACTCTGTTTCAAACACAACTCTGTGAATAATGTCATTGTTGCCTCTGAGAAGTGGGGAAGTTTCCAACTAGGAAGTAGTAATTACTGAAAAAGCAAACCGAGTCTACCTTACCTTGATCCAAACTCTGTCATTCATAAAGGAGAAAGGAAGTGGTGTATCATCTCCACCCAATTTTACAGTTTTACTGAAATCTATTGTGTTTTTATCAAGTCTTGGAGGGGTTCCTGAAATGGAATTGACACCATGATTTTAGGAAATAGGCTACAATGTGCAATGAGAGATATTTCAAAAGGACATTGGCCTTAGTCTGTGAAGTCTGCTCTTTTTCTATTTCCATCTGTCGAGGGATCTTGAATGTTCACAGTCTGTAGCACATGAGCCATGGTTTATTGTTCTATCCAAACGACTAAATGCTTTTTCCGTGTCAGCCCCTCCAACAAATTTAACTGACAGGGGGGAACCAAAGGTATCATCTCATCCTATGCAGCATAGGCTATGCCTAGATTGAACTCTCAGCTTGGAAAGCCATTTAGAGAATACATTAATAATATAATAGCTATCAGAATTGGATCATTTTCTTACCCGTTTTCAGTCGTCCCAATCTAAACCCCGCCTTCTCTAAACTTTTAGCCAATCCAATGGCAGGTTCATCATCTAATCTACCAGCAGGACGACTGTATAATCCGATGTTTATCGTTCCTCGTAGAAACGTACCAGTTGTCAAGACAACAGTCTTACTTTCAATTCTTTCTCCATTTTCTAAGAAAAATAAAGCAAAAAGATGATATTGAAACTAAATCTATCTAAATTCCAAAAATATTGTAAACAACAAATGCAAATAAATAAACAAACGTAACAAAATACCTAATATTATTCCATGACAGGCATGTTTTAAAATATCACTGTTGTTAGAAACAGGCAGATCTTCTAGAATTAGATCTTCTACTGGACTAGCTAGTATTGTTAAATTGGCCATATTAAATATTTCAGACTGCAGATGTTTCTTGTATAGTTTACGATCTATTTGAGCTCGTGGACCCTACAAAATAAAACAATGATTCCATAAACACTGAGGATAATACCTTAATTGTCCCAGGTATGGAAGTTACAAGTATAAAAATGGATGACCCTTGGCTTATAATTGGAATTTTTAATGCCACGATAAATGCCTTAAGAGAATTAATATACATGGAAAAGCTAATAAGTTTATAATAAAAAAATATATTTAGTCTGTAATACTTTTAAGGTGGCCCGGCTGTGCTTGAGAGCTTCCACCTTCAATTGAGGCGTTTAAATTTACACCCTGAATTTGTTGAACACAAACGAAGAACACCTGCTACTACTGAATTATCTTGTGTAGGCTATATCCGGATATATTTCAAAAATAAAACCCACCCAAACAGCTGGTCCTTTTCTTCTGTTTAACACCTTGTATTGAACTCCAGACAAATCTAAAAAGGATATTAAAATTTATATATTTTACTACAACATTCAGAATATAAGCTGGTAGAATCCCACGTTGTTATCTTGCCCTGAACTAGTCACATTTCTTTGTTTTTTTTCTTCAATTTTCAGAATACCAAAATCTACTCACCACAAATCCTGCCACAAACACCGTCCAAGGCATCAATTTCTTTCACCAGGTGACCTTTACCGATTCCACCAAATGAAGGATTGCAGGACATTTCACCTGCAGAAGACATAATTCATGAAAATTGGAATGAAATTCCTTTTCTGTCCCTGACAAAAAGTTTGCTATGAAGGTAGCATAGGCATATATATTTTGATAGGAAAAAGGAATTCAAAGACACAATTCCATATTCATTTCAGCAGTTTATAGCTTTGTACCACACAACTACCTCTAATTATAGTAGAGTGCTTGTTTTTATGTTTTGAATTGAACCTGAATGATCATGAATAGCTCTTTTCAACTGTCGCCTATATCATACATAATAAAGAGGAAATTGTGAAATACAAAACAAAGGGCATTGATTACCTTTTCTGTTATACACTTACGTTCAAATCTTACCTATAGTTTCCTTTTTATGTGTAACCAATAGCGTGTTAGCTCCCATTCTCGCTGATGCACAGGCAGCTTCAGTCCCAGCATGCCCTCCTCCCACCACAATGACATCATATCTATTATTAGCAGCACTGTAATGCCGTGTAATTTTACGCAACACATGGAACAGTCCTACACCTCTTCTTATAAGTCTCATTGTTAATGCCCCTGTCAATTATTCAACATTACTCTGACTCTGAAATGAAAGATGAAATGATAGATACCAGACTCTGAAATGAACATATACTTTGTTAAATCTTCAATTTTCAAGCAAGAACATTAGGGATCTTTTAATAGAAAAAGGCCCCAATAGGATTTTACCTTCAAATAAACTGAATTTTATTAGTGTCTTATATCAATGCAGTGGTGTTTTTCACCCCAAAAGAAAAGAGGATAACTCGGCTTTGCAACCAACCACTTTCACTTTCAACTGAGACCCATTGATTCATAGAAATGGATAATTGATGCTTCGATTACCAAACAACACTAATCGGAATCCTGTCAAAATCAAAGTGCACAACCATACCATGATAGGCTAAATAATGAACATACCAGTTGCAATCCAAATGGGAAACATGACATTTGCATTGTCGTTTAGTACGTAACACATGTAATTCAAAACTTTCTTCTTAACAAACCTGTAGACCCTTTAAGCACTATAATATTCATTTCAACCTTCATAAACATTTTCTCTTCATGGGCGCAGCCATCTTGGATTAATCTTCACTAAATGGAGTTGTTTCCCTTTGACTATAAGAACAGCTATTCAGCCCACATTTAATTTCTTGACAAAATATAACTAAACTAATTATCCACTATACATGGTCTTTATATGTAGTTATAACTGAACTAAATTCGGCTCCTTTCATCTAAAAATTTAAAGATGTCTCATCAGTCATGGCTTCAGAGAAGTTAAGCAGAATTTTAAGTTCCCTTTTCCATCTCTACTCCAGATAACTGAGTATAGGACTACTGGCAAAAATTTCCTTCATTGCCCATGGCATGGCCTTGTGTTTTTAGACTCAATCACAAATACTTGTTCCGTCAGAAGAAAGAGACTGCATCTTTTATGGGACAACAGTGTCAAAAATTACTATATAGTTAACATCAATGCCCATAGGCACACTTCTTTAAACAAAGTTCCGAACTTGTCTCCAGGTGTAGACATGAGAATAAGTTCTACTTGTCCAACTTTAGTAAGGACACAGGCTGGACTGTAGACTTCACAGCATTAAACTCTGAGTAACAACATATGTTTTTAGGTTCTGTTTTAATATTTCTAGAGTTAACATTAAATATGAAATATACCCAAATAGCCTACTATCTCAAACTGTGAGAGTTACACCCAGTAGATCTAGTCTAAGTTAGCTTTCATGAAGAATTTGATATCCCATTATAAAAAATCAACAATATTTAAAGAAAAAGTATATTTATTGATATATGATGAGGGAATATATTCTACATTTTATAAATTTGTTTAAACAACTTCAGTTTCTTAAAACACAATATTCAATATGATAATGTGTAAAATCAAAACTCTATATAATTTCCATTTCTAGTTTTTACAAGAAACACATAATATTTACAGTTGTGTTAAAATTCGAAAATGCTGATGAATTTATATTTACTAAATGCATGTGCGATCTGATGCATGTGCATTTTTATACATAACCTACTTTCTGATTTTTATCTTATTTATGAACTAATCGAATCAATAAAATAATAAGAAAGGCTGAAATCTAAAATTATTGTCAGTACAGATAGAAAGCTATCCCAAAACACAAGAATATGAAAAATGCATGTGCAGATATAGTCGTGACCTACTTTCATAGATTATCATTTCATTTCAATTGATTGTAATTTATTATCAGTAATGATCTGTTAGCAAATAATATTGTTAATACTAAAATATAATAAAATAAACATAAAACAAATACAGCAATGCAAGGGGAAAAAAAGAAAATCCTCTTTTTTAAAAAACCCAACAAAAACTGTAAAATAAGCACCTTTTGAATCAGTTTCATGTTAAAAATAAAATAAAAATATTTTGATATAATTAAAATCAGTTCAAAGATACTTGAGAAATCAAACGATGGAGGTGGTCTGACAATGTTATTAAAAAATGTCTTATGCCTCAGCCACTACTTTCGAACATGCCTAATGAAGCTAAAGTGGCTTTAAGTAGTCAGCAAGTGTCAGCATACCCTTAAATAAATGGAATATTCAGAAACAAAAACGTTTCATGCTTGGGTTTGTCAAATCAGCATTTTAACTGGATGAGCTACAGCTCTCTTTAAACTAGGACCTTATTCACGTCTCGTTTTTTAGACACTGAAAGCGAGGTTCATAACACAAATAACGTCATCCATCGATATGATGGCAACGTCATATGAATGAATAGCCAATTTGTCGTCATTAAACACCCGCTAAACAGCGATAAACTGCTCTTACTCGGAAATGTGTGCAGGTAAAATTCATCTGAAAATATCAAATGGCTTAATCAATTCCAAATCTAATGATGTAAAATAAGATTAGTTTTGAGTTAGTAGGACTGGAGAAAGAGGCTTTAAAGACGTCAAGGTGGTAATTTTTCTGCAAGCCTTGTTCTGAATTCAATATGGATGACAAGTGAATAAGGTCTATTGTGTTCAGTTCACTACACGGACAACAGATACAGCCTAAATCTCACAATCAAAATATTGACTGCCGGATTAGCAATTTAGAGTTGACAACTTGGAACTTTGATGATGTTACTTTAGTGTATGATGTGAATTTCGACCAATCAACACTAAGATGGCAACAGCTCCAACCCTTTCCTTTGGTCTGAAGCTTGAGATGGAATGGAGGACCAGTTTACAGCCCTCCCAGGGGATGATAAACTAAAATTTCAAAAGTCTGATATTTTTTAGCAAATATTTTTAATATACTAGGTAATAGTTATTTACAAATCTAAAAAAAAAATCATTTTACAAAAACTGAATAATATGGTTTTCTACTGAATTAATGTAAATAAAACTACATTTACTGTATGATGGACAAAATACAGGGCTGACATCACCCATAGGGCAAATATTGGTTCTTTAAAATCATATCATTTTTCAAATAATGCAAAAAATTAGTCTGTTGGGTAATAAACGTACCGAATCTAAAACATGAGGGAGGCCAATATCAAAAAAGCCTTTGATAGCTTACTCAATTCCAGGAAAGTTGCATGATTCCTTGGTGGTTCAGAATGAATAAATTCACTGCCTATTTGTCTTGTAATAGACCAGAGTCCAGAGCAATACAAAGTGAAACAACTGATAATCCTTACCAAGGTAATTTGGCACCATGCTCTTTTATTATGCCATTAGAATTTTGAATAAGAATCATGACATATTTTGATATAGTTTGTTTTTAAATAAAGTTCTCATTTATTATGGGGTACAAACATTACAATTATATATTTCGGACTGTGGTGATTTTTATTTTGAAAATTGTTCTGATTTTGTCCACCATACAGTAGACTATCTGAATATACATAATTTTGTACAAAATGTTAAAAACATGGCGGTGAGGTTTTTGATTTTATAAGGAAGGAGGTATATAAACTAATATCTATGGTATCTATGGTAACGTATTTATCAGAAATTCTGTATTTTTTTGTAATGGATGCCCCAGGGCTGTTGATTTCAAATTTTCTAAATTTGACAGATTTTGGTTGCCAAATTTCAAAATGATTATAAAAACAAAGATCAACAAAAAATGGATCATTTACATAAAAGATCATACAATGACTGGCAAAGAGAGATATATCAACAGCCCTGGAACATATCCAGTCTTGAATCATTTTTCTTTTCATCAACTGTTTATTTCATAATGTTACTGAAACTGCTAAACCCTTGGTCTGAGAAAAGAAAAACCCTTCCTCCATCAAAATCTATATTTCTAAAGCAGACCAAGTTTGCTGTAACTGAGGCACTAGCAATTTCTGGACACTACCAATAAGGCAGAGCAACCTTGTCTTTTCAATTTAAAACACCAGTAAGCATGCATTGGATTTTAAACACCCTCTAGGTTGGCTTATTGCTATCTTAGCTGTACCAATTTAATTAAGTCCTTTGAGTGAGCTAACTGCTTTCTCCATTGAAAGTTTTAAATCATCAGGATTGGGTAATTGCTATTTCTACTATAACCCTCAAAGCAAATGCGCATGCAAGCTAAAGTCCAATAGGACTTATTAGGATGTCACATTGTGGTTAGGTCCTTGTTGATGATGAGAAAGATGTATCAAGACTGGTAAGAGTTATCTGTTCTTAATAAATTAAATCATGAAGATGTCTGAATGAAGTAGAGCAAAATTGAAAAGTTAAAAACAAAATATATGTAAATGCACTATAAAATGATGAACATAAGACATTCAAAAAATAATTTAAATCTGCAATAAAATAAATATTATCGTACCACACAGCTAAATATTTCTCTTTGAAGTAGTCTCAAGGTTATATTATGCAAATTTTATGCGAATGTTATGCAAATTTTCGATATTATTTTTTGAATGTCTGATTTTTTTTTTGAGTAGTAGAGCACTAAAAACTATAAACAAGAAATGAGAAACAAAAATTATCTGAGTGGCGAGGCAAAGTATAAAAATGGCAGCTGAAATAAATTTAGATCAAACGTCACTTTTTTTGATATTCAAAATGTATGATTTACTGGGTTTATTTTCAATTCTTTCATGTCTGAAACATAGTAGCAGCCAATCAAAACACACCAAAAAAATTTCAAATATGAAAGTTTATGCAAGAGCCAATGAAAATCAATCTTTAAAATTCAAAATCCAAATTTCATCCAATCAAATCTCTTCATTTATTCCACTCTGAGTTCACAATACTGGTATCAAAATTCCCCAATTCAGCCTCATTCACAAAAAACTGGACACCATTTTGAAAAAAGCATTAAGTCACATGATAAGATTATGCGTGTTCCGTGTGATTTAAATCAAAATGAAATTAATGTCTGTTTCCTTATCGCAAACGCATGATTCGTGTTTTGTTGTCATCATCCATTTTCCTCGGCAATGAGATACGTCGACTGCAGACCAGCGCGTTTGTTTGTCTAAAACTCCATGACCAATACATCGTAGTCCCAGTTCTTTATCCATGGCTGTTGGTTGAC